TATAAAAGTCCTACTAGAAACCTTGTAGGTACATTTGAAGCTTTTTAATAACTACAGAACAAGAAAGTCGTTTAAGCCTTAGACACTTGCGTATAGCCTAGGTTGTGAACAGTGCCATCTTTAGGCCTGATGGTTGTAAAACGCCATCTTCTGTAAATATTCTTGTTGTGGAAATTCGGTATTACATTGAACGAATAGTTTACTTAAGACTACAAAATATTCTGTGAGACTGTGAATTCCTTCTAGGACTGGAAACCAGTTTTGACAAAACTTCAGACAGAAGTATACTTTTTAAGTAAATCCCTACATTGTGACCATAAACATACATTTTCACACGAAATTGTTTACCTCAAACTGATAAAGACCTCATGGAAAGTAAAAGGTATTGTAAATTGATTGAAAAGTAATCCACTTATTGATGCATTGAGGAGCCAAATTATCTGTAGGGACAGTTTTAGACTGTTACCGTCACTTCTCTAATATCAAGAAAGAATGCCTACTGCCTTGTTCAATAAGTTGATGTGAATATAATTTATCGGCGGATGGATAATAATGATGCACTTACAGTCTGGAAACTATTTCACATAGATTTTCAAAGACAACCTTCATTCAACCTATACAACAACATATTTAACTAACTAATGTTAAAGAGAAAATATACAAGTTTTCAGCCAAATATTTGGTCATCTAACGGAGACTGAAAAGTTATGAAGACTCAAAATGCAGGTTTTGGCCAGGAGTTTGAAAAACAAGTTCACATTGAATTGTTTATTCACAGTTGGGAAGTGTTGAAAGTCATAGGTTTATTTTCACCTAGTAGGATACCGATCACGGGTGGTGGGAGAGGATAAGAAACACGACGTCTAGTTAAACATTGATTAGTAATGACCGGAAACAGATTCCGTCTAATCTAAAAAGTGTTCAAAGTAAGAAATGTATGGGTGAAAAACAACCTGTCAAGATACCTTTCGATACCTTTTGTAGTGTTGGCTTTCGGATCGATTGAAAAACCATTTGAGAGCCTACATCTGAGCCCTTCAACACGAAATAAACACAGTGAGAAGTGAAAAATGAACCGTAAAAAACTGTTACTATTGCCAACAGAATTTTACTTGACATTTCTATACAATCCAGAAATGTAACTAAACGGAAATGACTCCTTGATAATCATTACAATTAGAACGGAAATCAGTTTCTTTCTAATTGATGAAGACTGGAAAATGAAACTGAAGAAAGACATAAATCTTACTTTAAACAACTGTAGTCAAAACAGAACAGACATTCATTCATAGTGAACAGTGTAAGAAACTGAGTTGTTTCTCTCTCTCTCTACATATATATATATATATATATATATATATATATATATATATATATATATATATATATATATATATATATATATAGGTATCATTGGTAGTTACCATACATACACACCTGTTATTGAACACCTGAATGAAAATATCTAGTTTGTACTCTGTCGAAGCAGTCTTTAATTTTATCATACGATCCAAATAATTCAATAACTGTGAATGATTTACGCTTGAGACTTTATAAAGAATTATTTCAAACTACTCAGTGAGGGAATATTTCGTTTTATTGATGGCTATTAGTCTACAACCTTCCCATTATTAATAAGTTAATCATGTAAGGAGTGCAGTTATGCTTGACCTCTACAGTTTTCAAGTTTCAGGAAAAGATATATAGACAAACAGAAGGAGTAGCAATGGGATCACCAATATCCCCTATAGTAGCAGATATATTTATGGGTAGTTGGGAAGATATGGCTTTACGAACATATAATCCGACACCTAAGATATGGTGGCGATATGTGGATGACACATTTACAGTGTTGAAATCGGAACATATCGACAGTTTCTTGACACACATAAACTCAGTAGTTAACGCAGTCCAATTCACTTACGAAGTAAAAAATGAACAAGGAGAATTACCTATGTTGGATTGCAGAATAAAACGAAGGACAGATGGTGGTTTAGATACTACCGTCTACAGAAAACCAACACATTCTAGCAGGTATCTAGACTTCAAGTCATCTCATCCAGTGTCAGTTAAAGCGGGTTTAGTCAAATGTCTAAATAACAGAGCTAAGAAACTCACTAGTCATTGTAAGGACTTAAATAAGGAATTGAAACACATAAAAGAAGCGTTAATAATTAATAATTATCCCCATCATTTTATTAAGAAATTCACACGGACGCATAAGAAGCAAAATAATAACACTAATACAAATACAAATAATAGCGACAACATAAGTAGAAAGGAAATCAACACCTCTATTGTGATACCATACAAGGAAGGAACATCAGAAACCATACGTAGGATTCTCAACAAGGTTGGAATTAGGGTGGCATTTAAACCAACAAACTCACTTAGAGGTAAGCTTTGTCGGCTAAAAGATCCGATGGAACCAATTAGGCAAAATAATATAATCTACCAAATTCCATGTAATGACTGTGAGGTCAAATACATAGGTCAAACTAGCCGGTCGGGGTCAGTTAGATTAGCAGAACATAGGAATTTAGCTAAACATAGAACGGCAGACCCCAATAAGATCAATAATCTAGAAAAACACTCGGCCATTGCATTACATTCATTAACACACAACCATACAATAGGGTGGGACAAAACCACTGTACTTAAGTCTAATATAGCTAGGTGGAGAAAGAGATTAATTACTGAATCTTTGTTCATCGAATCCACACCCAACACATGTAATAGGAATGACGCAACACCTAGACCAGAGATATGGAAAACTTTACTACCAATCAAAAAACAAAAAACAAAGAAAAATCAGGACTATAAAATCAGATATCGAAAGAAGTGTGATTACATTGATATGATTATGAGCAATAATTTATGCTCGAAACGTAATCAATTAAATAATACTGTATCACTGTGCGCTTTATATCAAATAAACAAATCTAATATGGAACTACATTCTACCACAGTGCCCAAGTTTTTCACTTAAATTACTGATAGTGTCTATTATGATTCCTGAGATATAAGTAGAGATTATAAACAGTCTGATCAAATAAGCTGGAACCAAGGATAGGTGTCCATTAAAGACAATCGGAGAGGCCACATTGTTCAAACCCTTGCAGTACAACCATACACCTGTAAGGTAATGTGCTCATATACAGAAGTAATGGTAAGAACTTTCGAATATTCACAAACTATCAAGAAACAACTACTCAAAACTACTTTGTTTCAGCCTGTATCACAAACAGATAAAAATATTCTTCCTACTTCCTTACTCTTGTATGCAGGTTCTATTTTTACTTTGTTTTTTTAGTCAGCAAACGTAATCAGAATCTCTTGGACTGCTTTACAATAAAACACCTATAAGCAAGAAAAATATTAGTTTTCTAATTCCCAACCGGTGCATAGTTCTCTAGTGGAGTTCATGCAGACCCTTGAATGATTATGAAGAACAGTTGAAATATAAAAATAAGAAATGTCCACCAAGGACAAAAAATGACTCCATTTCTCTTCAATGTCCTTATACACTAGCTAGTAGATATAACCACAGGTAACTCAAAATTAACACAAATTGACTCATTCCTAGGATACCATTTCGTTGACTTAGAGTACGAAGACAACATTGTCCTGCTACATGAAGACGCTGACAAAACACAGACTCTTCTAAATTCCTTCAGCAGATATCTGAGTATGTTCGAAATGCGTTTCGCACATATCAACGGCAAGATGACACTTCATTGCCTGTCTCCACTCAATGCCAGTTTAACCATGGGAAGTGAAGTAGTGGAGTGCATTGACAAATTCACTCACTTCAACAATTCCATCAACCCAATCGAGTTGGTGGCTAACGAAATCTCATCTGGAACACAAAAGACCCGGTTGGCATTCGTCAATTTACGCCATCTCTGACTCTGGTCAAACATCCGACTGCATATCAAAGGACGAGTATGCTGCACGAAGTTCGCTCTGCCCCATCGCATTGCTGTAACATGTAAGATGTGACTATTGAAGGTGGAACATAGGAAGACATAACAGGTTTCATCGCAGCATCGCCCGCATATGTTGGAATCACTGTGTGAGTAATATCGAGGTCAGGCGTACAGTAACTACACATGGAAAGCAAGTCAATCGATGAGCTTGTGAACCTTCATCGACTGACTGAAGCGGCGTAGACATGCGCTGTGTATGTCAAGCAATCACCTGACTCGATGTGTGGTGTCAGCCGAAGTGGAATAGGGTTGTAACAAGGCTAATGGTGACTATGTCACGACGTGATGTCAGTCCATGAAGTCTCCGACGATCGGTCTCAAACATTTAGGGAGGTGCGGACTACCTGTTTCACGTCATCCAGATGATGATAGGAACCAATGGTTGTAGATTCTTGGCGACATAACTGAAAACCGGTCACATTGGCGTAGATGTATTCACTCTTACACGTCTTCTAAACTTTGAACATTCTCTCTCTCTCTCTCTCTCTCTCTCTCTCTCTCTCTTACTCACTCACTCACTCCGATTTCTTTCTCCACTAATTCACTTTTGTCTGCGTTGGTGTCTCTCTTTTTCTATTCACTTGTTACTTATATGTTGGTGTGAAGTGTGGTAACTTGGACTGATGATTTTCTTTGTGGGGTTTTATGGTGATTTTGTCTATCCGTCTGGAAGTAATAGGAAGTTGTGTTGCTGAAAATGCTGTTTATGAAATATCGGTGCTCCGGTTGAATGCTGTTATGGTCATTAGTCGCCTGCATCGTGGCTTATTAATAAATAGCAGCATGATTTAGAAGAAAAAATGAAAAAGCTGAAATTGTAGGTATATATTCCTAACCATGAAATTGATGCTATTTCTCCAGAGATTCACGATATGGAAAATAAAACTATGGACAAATAAAACGAATTAAATCATCTCCAAACGATCTATGAAATAAGTCTGCATTTACCCTGCACATATACAGTGTAAACACAAATTACGCAACATGGAACAATATAGATAATATTATCTGTTAGATATCTGAAATACAGTAGACAGAATTATTCCAATGCTATATCACGATAATTACCTCATATTAGAGAGATAGTTATGATTAAAGATTCACAATATTACCTGACGGTCCATCAGCTAAAATAAGCGCATGTGAAGCACGTTCTATTTCGCTGATCGCCAAAAATGCCTTGGCCATACGACCTGCATCCGTCTGGATCCATATTGTAGTTGTTGCTGTAGTCTCTGATGTTTGTTTGTTCTTGCATGCTGGCCTTGGTATTGCAATATGAGGTATGTGATAACGATGAGTTTCACCTTCTAAATATTCAGCTACTGAACACGCTGTTAAACTCACAATCACATCGACATTTTTGCTGATTAGTTCACACACTAGATGAAAATAGAAGTTATAGAATAGTTGTCAAAAGACTTACTATATTCCGTAGTTTTGAACAGCTAGTTAAAATTAACATCTTGTGAACATGTTCAGCTGTTTTAAAACAATATATCACCAATTTATTCACTGATTCTTTGGACTACTCATAAAAACAACCCAGGACTTCTAGAATTTGATATTTTTATAAGACGAAATATGAATTAGTCAATGTAATTCCAATTATCAGTGTTTAGCTGTGAACGCTTCGCTTAAATATAAGGGAACGTTCTTGAAGTAATAGCGATAGAGTCACTCTGTACTTCATTTGTAAATTGTCATCAGAAATGCTCTTATTATGCGAACGATAATGAAGAAAATTTTGATGAGTGGGCAGGTACAACCTGGAAGATAGTTTAGCGTTTTGTGATGTTGGATATTGAGTCTGTGGATTTCTCATGCTTACTTAATGTCACTGCGTTTACAGTTATTTCAAACGTTTACGACTAAATATCGATGCCAGAAAACACTAAAAACATTCTCACTTGTGTTCTACTCCACAAATGTATTCTACTACAGGAGGAAACAACTTTATGTTTTTAACATACTAGTTAAAAATACGTTATTTTCCTTTACTTACGTTTGTGATATAGGTTGTTTATTTCCTTAAAAAAACCCTGTATAATGACACCGACAATAGTTGAATTCTTCTCCTAATTTACTGAATTCAGAGTATTGATTAAGTGGTTTGAAAAGTACACTATACAAGACGTTTTATTCAAAACAGATGGATTCACGGATAGCCCTTTCATAGGGTGACACCCCACTCTTAATTGCATTGACATATTCTACAATATCTGTTTGGCTTTATAAAAGTTGAGTAAATATTACTTGCTTTGAATGGACGATAACGAAACTGTTTGTATTGTTGTAGAGATTTCAAAAGTAAATTTTATTTTTGAAGTTTGATTTCAAATTTTAGAAAACAAGGGAAACAAAATTCAAATGTGTGCGTAACAAATGAACTTCAACTAAATTGTCTTAATAGTTAAGAAACATTACAGGATGTTAGTTCATATCTTTGATCTTCAATGGTCGTCAACAAATACCACATGACCATTAAACTCAGTGACAATACACGTTATTTTCGATGGAAACGCGAACATTCAATCAAATATAGCATAAACTAGTATATTACAATAATTGTGTACTGAGGACTCCTGTGTTAGCCATTGAAGCTAACGACACTATCAACGAATTCTTACAAGGAGTTCATATTTCAGTAGATGCATAGAAATTCTATTTGAAAAATCCAAAGTTTCCATAATCATCAACAAATTTTGTTCCACTGCTAGTCAACACCAAACACAAGTTTACATATATTCTCTTAGAACGGGTTTTAAAAAAGTTTCTAAAGTATGGTGTCCTATACACGATAACCTGCAAGAGGTGATAGAATCAAGAACTTAATAGCCACGGTAACAGAAAGCTTTTCAATGAGGGTAGATAACATTCATTCAACTGTAACATAGTCTACTGCGACACATCAGTTTATATGCTACAAACTTTATCAACAACCAGGTAGATTACAAGGAAAAGTTGTCATATTCAGTTTAGAGCAGACATTTTAAAAACTGTCAACGACGACAGCACATTACGGTTGACAATGTACTGAGATATGTGCAACAAACATGTTGACAGCTAAGTGAATAAAACAAAGACGTAACAGCGAAGAGAATTTTCTTTTAAGGATTTCATTTACTAAACATGTACAATCATATTTATGAGAATTAAAAACAGTCTATGAACCACTATGGTCACGTGATAATCGTAATGCTCAAGAGAAGAATCAATAGGTGTTTTTAAAGAAAACTTTGACGATGGTAAGACCAACGCGCACACGTATGTTTACGATGGAAAGATAGGAGTCAAGGTTGCGAGTTGCCAATCCTGTAGAATACTAAAATATCTCTAATTCGCATCCTGCACTACAAATTAATACACTAACTGACTAAGCTTTGGATGAAAGATATGTGTTTTACAAACTCTACGGACTTCATCAACATATTGAGAGCTTTTAGCCATTATAGGGGATAATCTGAAAGTAATTAAAAATCCATTCACTAAATTCCTTTCACACCAGTTTACCCATGCTGGACGATCGGATTCATGTAGTCTGAATGCGAGGACTCTTGTTTGAAACTGATCACATACACTTATGACACGTCTAAAACTAGTAAAACATGCATCCACTGCTTAGTTTAATTTACGATGCCTAAAGAAACCACAGGAAAAACATGAATTGCGCTTCAGCATTAGTTTCATTTTAGACTGTTCAGCAGTCATGCATCTGACATTACTTTTTAAATGTTTGATGATTTCCTTCAATTTCGAGAACTATACTTACCCAGAGATACGGTGTACCATTGAAATCAGGAAGGTAACATTCAAAAACGTGGTAATGAGCAACTTTTTTAAGTGTGAAACATTGATTATTTTTTTAAAAAGCTGTTCACTTGTTACACTGTGTAAATAGTGTAAAGACAAAGCTACTCACCTTGGTTCATAAAAAACTTTCCGATGGAAAATTTAAACTTCTTAGGTTTTGGTAAGGAGAAATTTCTTGTCGAAATGTCAGCATAGTGCTCAAGAGTTGGCTTCAACACCTCAAATAAATCGGTTAGATTATACTTTGACTGATCGAATCTATCATCGTATATAACACCTTGAAAAGTTAAGAGGAAAGTCTAATTAAACTCAAAGCATAGGAGATAGTAGAATGTATAAAAAAGGTATAAAACAAAATTACTTCTATCAGAATAGAGGAAGTGGACTGCAAATCTAGTGATTTTCTCAGAAAGATGAAATTTCTGATATTATAAAGATACCACTTTCAGAACACAATCAGTTTTAGAGACACTGATAAAATATCACAGATGCAGAAGCTCCAATTAAAGAAATTAGTCAAATATTTCTACTTTTGAATAACTAGTCAAGTAATCAACTGCTCATGGTTTACTGAAAGTGTGTTCGAGGGTCAAAAGTGGAAAAATATATGTATTTAGATCCGATTCTCTTCACGGATAGATATCACTTAAGGAACAATTAAAAATTACAGAGTACAATTGCTTGATCCTACATTGTAGTCTGCTTGATGGTTAGAAGCGGAATCAAGGACGCGCGTTTCGTCCTACTTAGGAGTCATCAGCTAGATGTACCGGGACACCAGTGAGAGATATTGTTCTCACTGAGACCCGAACTCAATACCCATTGCTTCAAATACCAAAGTGTTATCCGCAAGGCTACGATAGCCACCACTTGGTCCTAGTTAGAAAATTTTCAAAACTGTGGCTATTATTCCATCCATAGGCTAGTTAGAAACCAACAGGTATCAGCCAGCTGATTGATTGTTATCCACATATTTTAACTTCTATCAGTTCACCAAAAAACAGTACAGTTATTCGTTACTGGTAAGCATTAGTCTGCGCAAGTGACTTGGTTGATCCCATAGGTTACGGTTTCTCAGTATAACTCATGGAAATCTTTACTCAAAATTAATCGCTAATGAACACTGAATTTCGATTCATTTCGGTGGTCTATGAAGAAATGATTGACCTTCAGGCATTTCTGTCACAGAAAAATATCATCTACAGAAGCACCGGGAACTTGGATACTAAATTGTGCCGATAAAACATATCTTCAGACCAACCAGCTATCCAAAGACCAGCAGGATGAACACTAGATGCAGCCAATATAGTAAAACCATCTTTCACTTTCATTTGGAAGATAATGAATTCTGTATACTTTTCTGATCAATATGGTTCTTACCCTCCTTTTACTTACATTAGAGATGGAACTGTCCATGAGTCACAAACGTAATCCTTAGAACTGTGTGCTATAAACACTCAGTTTAATATAAACAAGAGTTTTCCTAATGGTCTTCATTGATCATAGGTACCTGAGTTCATGTCTTTTCTATTCCACCTCTTCGTGAAAGAATAGAGGTTAGAATCAGTGTTACTGCCTCGATGAGACTGTCCAACCAAAGGATGATCACTTTTTGGAAAAGCCGAAAATGGTTCTTCACTTCATGCGTACCTGCAAGTGGGAAATTAAGATTTCTGGCTAGTTTGAGTTTAATTGAGCTTCTGTAGTCCTATGAACTCTATAATCCAAGTTGAATTAATGATATAAATAGTTTAGACGTGGATAATTATCTTGATTATACGCGCTATGGAGTGAGAACGCATCACCCTAGTTCAATAGAGCTTGTTTTAGTACATTACCAACATCAGATTGTCAATTTCGTAGTCATTTTACTACACTCACTAGCATTCATGTTGACAAAAGTAAATTTCCTCTACTTAGTCTAAACTAGCATTGCTAATTATAAAATAAACGCTACATAAGTTCTGTGATAGTTAACTAACTATAATACAACTATAGATTGAGTAAAACTGTTCAAGATAAGTTCATAATCCTCTGTCCACTTGTTCACAGCTTTGGAAAAATTATTACCTCAGAAATCATTGGCGGAACTAAAAATATGAAAATGAAATGATGATCATCAGACTACTTATATCTTGAAATCCAAAAAAAATGTTATACAGAGTGGTACGTCACATCAACGAATGAACAGAGACCAAAGTTTTTTACTATGTGCTTATTGAAATCGAGGCAAGTGCAATGGAAGCATTATATCAATGTATTTCTATATGAAAAAATATAAATGTATATTTGGTTCCGGTGTACAAAATTAGGAGAGCTAATGGTTTGGTACATGCAATCAAAGTTAGAAAAGCAGTAAAGGCAAATTAAGATTTCTTCCTATGTGGGAGTGTTCATGAGGTAATTATCTACAAGAACCAACAAAATGTAATTAAAACGTTTCCAAACTTAGGTTTATAAGGCCCTGATTGATAATTGGCCAACACCATTGATAAGAAGGCACTGGCTAAGATAATGTACATGATGGGAAAGTTAAAAGAGAAATCAAAATTTTCAAGTTATTGAAGGTAGAAATTTTCGAGGTCCAAATTTTGGTATATACTGCTGGAGTGAGTCTAAAGGCCAAAGTGGCAACTATTGAAATAAGTGATCAGGCTTCGCTGTTTCAGGTGGTCAGGCAGTTCTTCGTAAAATAAAGAAGCTCGATTAGTTATCTGAGCAGCTGATCGGGTGACCTTTAGAGTAACTCATATATCTGTGTCGTCGCGATAAACTTACATGAACATTTGATGTGCTTCACAGAGCCAATCAAGAGAGGTTATTATATCCCTAACCTATGTATATGGCTAACAATCAACATCTGCATATTAGTAACCTCTTAGTTCACATACAGTATTACATATTTACAAAACACTTCTCCCATTCCTTCCATTTAATGCTTTTCATCATGATTTTATTCTAACTTGCAAGTAAGCATTTTAGCTTTAAAAACAGCATCGGAAACTAAAAGTCATTTCTAAAATCTCTTAAGAAAGGGGTTAACACAAAATAATTCTCTAAAATGCTTGCTTCTCATACTGTCCAGAGAACGTCTGCTTGATTGACAAAGCAGACGACAGAAACACGAAAGGTCTAAACGTTGACATTATGATGTATTCTAATCGCTTCAAGTAGAAATCTTAGAATATTTTGGCATGCGTTTTGTACGTATGCATTGTAACATGATGCTCACCTACGGTAGAATCGCTGTGTGAGCAATGTTGAGGTTAGGTCAATGGTGTTCTGCAATGAATATAAGGTAGGCGATGGAGTTAGAAACCTTAAGCGAATAAGATGACTTGAAAGTGTGTGCTGTTCAGCGAACCACGGCTTACATCGAGATACAAAGTTAGCCAAAGCAGAACTGGGTCAGAAAAATCTCATGGCAGCCAAACCAGGACCCAGGACCAATGCATTAAGTCTCTGACGGTTGCTCTGAGTCGTGTAGGCTGCCTGAGTGGGGTCATGAGGAGGATAAGAATCAATGGTTAGTTTTTTGTTGATATAGTTCAAAATCGACCACAGTGACGAAAATTCATGCACCTCGTCATCTAAGTTTCTAAAATTTTCCATAGCCATTCATTTATCCCTTCTCTACCAGCATACTTTGTCCTACTACTACGTCATTCTTGTTTCAATGTAATTCTTCTTTGTCTGCTGCTATGGATTGCGGCAAGTTGAAGTGATCCACTTCTTAGTTTAGTTCCAAGTTGATTTATCTCTGTCAATTAGAAAAAAAGCTCCTGACAATTTTGAAACCAGCCATTTTCAAATTTAGTCCCTATCTATAGTGACGCAATGAAGGGTATGGTAGATCTTCAAAATAAAGCTCGCTGCCTTTATTTGTATAAATTACCTTTTAAAGATTTGAATCTGTTGTTTAAGCTTCTTTGCTAACCTTACTTTTGCGATTTTTAACGACCTCAATTACCCATTGTTTACTCTTCCGCTTTTAATATGCTGCTTTATCTATCTGCCACGAAAGCATCTCTATTTTAAATAAACCAACGGGCTGTATCCGAATGGGTATACTCTTTCCGGTCAAAGTGAACTTTTTCGATCTGATGTTGTTTTTTCCTTATGTTAACCAAGCAATTTGTCAAGAACCTTGGTCTAGTTCACCAGTGCATATCCGAATAATAGCACAACCCCGAATCTTCACACGTAAAATCAGCTGTTTTATCTTCATGCACGTGATGCACATAAGAGTTCCAGTATTACAAAAACTTATGTCCTCAAGTTAGGAATGAAGCTCTTTCTGAAGACGAATTGCAACGTTTGCTTGAAAAATACGCTAAAATATAATAGACACCATAATTCCCCACTTACTTGCTTTACAGAAAATGCAACCCTAATCTCTTAAGCTATTTTCAATGACATGTCTAAATCAGTAGAAACACTACTGTTTCACTTATCATTGATCTGATGAAAAATATATTATGCACCCCATAATTGCACTGATGCATGTAAATAATAATTAACATGCTATGTTTGGTTTCATCTATCCTTTTCTGGGTTGTGAAAGAGGGAGTATACAACGGAGTTTGATTCACAGACGAATTACGGTGCGAAACAGTTATGACAGATTCGTAATTGCTGGTGTTATCTAAACTATAGAATTCTTACAAAACGTGTAATCATATTTTACAAAGCTATTAGACTCAATTAAATAAATATTCATGGAAAAATTCTAAAAATTATGTATACTAGTGATAAGAAAACTATTCCGTACTTACATAATCATAAGAAGTCATATGTGTACATCTACGGAATACACCGTAGTAATATCCAAGCAGGCTGAACAACACACTATAGCTGTTCAGTTTGAAAACTTATCTGTTATTTGAAGCATAGTATTCAAAGATAGATATATCCTTCATATAAAGAACACTACTTTACACATATACTCGTGACTGTTTTATGAATCTGACACTGGAAATGCTAAAAATGTGTGAATGAATGGCTGCCTGAGAATGAGATTGTAAAGAGTACTATGCTGAAATATGATTTTATGCCGGCTTGCTCATTTGAGATGGAACACTGGAAAACACTTTTATTGGCGGGATAACGTCTTAGGTGTTGCTAACTATCCATGAGGTTATCAAAATAATCACAGAAATTTTGGACTTGTTTCTATAACCCTGGTGCTTCTCAAGCTTTAACTTTTAGTAGGAGCAGCATTTTTCATTCGTATTTTATGTAGTGGATTTGATTTATGGACAAACCCTAAGTAATAAATACCTTATGTTTGAATATACTGTGAATGTTACAAAGGATTTTTAATTAGTACGAAAGATTCTATTGATCTTACTAAAGAGCAATCCAATGGAAGAAATGGCCTGTAATAGCTGTGAAATCAGGTGCATAAGTTAAACTCGAATGAAATACATCACTAAGGTATAGGAACTTGGCTGAATGTAGCGTAGTACGCTTTACTATAATAGGCAATCTGAATACTCATTTCAGATGTCTAGAAATTTCAACAGCCACCGGAAGCCAAAAAAGGATAGCTCTAAAATAAATTTAGAAGTTATGTAAATTACGTGAAATTAAGTAATCCAGTATTAATTACTAGGCTCTATTTAAAATGACCATACTAACAAACTAACGTCATTCAATTAGAGTAACCTATCCAGGAAGCATTCTAGAATAGTTGTAGAGTAGTCCAACGCAGATTTTTAGCCACAAGTTGTTGTCAGTGACTTACCAATATGCCATTTGCTCTCTGAGACAGCGACTGATAGGAAGCTGAGAAAATTCAAGAACAAAGAAACGAAGTGCATGTGGCACAAATATCCACTTTACTCCAAATGTGAATAATTCATTTTGTTTATTCCCAGCTTGTCTTATATATATATATATATATATATATATATATATATATATATATATATATATATATATATATATATATATATATATGCAGTGTAAATCACTTAGGTATATTTCTGAGGTGATTTAAATTAATGTAGATTTACTGCCACGTGCAGAAAAAAAAATTATCCATGACATTAAGAAAACAAAGAACATTTTGTATGAAGTCACTATAGTTACTAAAATAAATTATTAAAACCAAGAGCTTTTGACCAAGATTTATTCAGTGCACTAATGTTAGTTCGCGACAGGTGACTACTACAAAACAGGAATGCTAAAAGTCTTGTTGATAAGTGCAGTGAATAGCAATGAAATAAACTCAGGTTTCGCTGTGTAAAATGTATCAACAACAAAAAAATAACCATTTACTCTACAGACTTCAAGCTGAAATTTGAAAATGATATATCTGTAATTATTTATATCGTCTTCAACTCTTTTATCCACACTGCCCAACTACAGTCAAGAAAAAAATAACATGCTACGATAATGTACAAGTTCGGCTCATTATTTTTCCCGTTTGGAGAGATAAAAGTCGTGACAAAATTGAAAATAGCATTCTACAACTTATGTATAACTCTGGGAAGATGTAAAGACCCAATTCAGAGAAATCACTTACCATCCGGCGATCAAGTGATAGTACTATCTGATACTTGGAAAGCCCCTGGGTAAAATCCATCCCATCGGATTTTAAACTGAAAGTTTTTTACCAACGTTGGTATCCACATATAGTTGGACGGAAGACAGTGTACACAATTATCAAGGAGATCACCCTGCTCAGTGTATCGAACTAAATGAAACCAAACGGATTTCAAACATACTTTAATTCCCCTCTTATTTAAACTGCTTCTAATATCCACATCATATTCGATTTTATGTCTCCCAGATGTTCACAAAACTAAAACCTTACTCCAGCTGGTCGCATGGGATAAACAAACCAACAATAGGGCCGTGGTTACAACGATAGACAGCTGATCGCTCTAAATAAGTTGGATCGAACAAGTATTTTTCAAAAAACAAATAACTGCAATTTTAGGAACCTTATTTCCGGTAAATCTCGCTGGTTTTATTTCCACCACTTATAAAAACAATATATACTGCTCTAGAATTGGAATCGAATTGCACTCAGCGACTCTGTGAACATTCGTACGGCAGCAATGAGGCACATCTATCGTGTGAGAGCTAGTTATACTACCTGATGGCCCGAACCCCGGTAGGTGGAGTGGGGCTGGAACCCGTGACCCATTGGTTGAAAGTCATCTCCCTAAACCAATAAAAGCGTAGGAAATTATTTTCTGATAGACTGACTCTTAATACGCTAGACAATGGATCTGATAGCTGATGAAACACATAAATAAGTAACAAGTTCTTGTTGCCCAGCCACTGAATCATTTTTCTTATCAGTTTATTTCTTAACTGAAGCTTTATAAAGTGTTTTTGTAAATTAGAAAAGCATGTTCATACTGATAAAATATAATACAAGATAATCTACATGTGAAAATGAATAATTTATAAATCACACCTATAATGATAATTATCACAAAAACTGGTTGCACAAGATATGAGAATATGTACAAAATAATTCATGTAGCAGAAATAATCGAGGGATTATAAGCAAAATATAAAAACCGTGAATATCTAGATTAAAAATAATGGAATAGAATGGTAGCCCCAAAGAGATATGAAAGATAATACACATGGAAACAAATAAATACACATGAACCTGAAAAGAAAGTATATTTACAAAATAGTCGTATAATACACTGGAATGCAGCAAAGGCTACAGTATATGGGATTAGTATTGACTATCTAATTAGTATGCAAAGAAAGTTAACAAAATAATCACTTTACATTTTTTCGAAAAGAAGAACTTGAAGATGGATTGATATTCATACTTTTATTGCACATGGTAACCGCGGAGGAACTTAAACCAGTTAAATTATGATTAGCAGAAATGTGAGGTTTAGTGAGCGTATTTTTTACATTATTTAAATTGATGCTTGCGAAGATGCGTTTTTCATCCGATAAAGATGCTGAGCTGCAGTCCTAGCGTCTTTTAAATAAGTTTCTACGCCATCTAGCTTGAATTCTTTATATTCTGTAGTATCAACAACGGGTGCGGAAGAGTACTTGTCATTCATTTTTCTCAATGGTAATGCCATACACATTGAATTCGACAACTGAGATGAGTGAGTAAGACCTGTTGAAGTACAAATATCATTATTTTCTTGATATTTCGCATTTGAAAATTTCTTGTTGTCTTCAAATATATGGTGCTCTGAATAAGGACTGTTACAAGGGTCGTGTTTATGCAATCGTTCAAAATTAGTTACACGTTCCGTGATTACATCCAACTGGGCTTCCATAACACTTAAAGCATTTTCGAATGGAGTTAGGATATATTCATCTAAATGCACCAAATCATTTTGAGTCTGTGCCAGTTTTTCAAGTTGTTTTGGTGAAAGACCAAAGGTTTGGCTGCTAAAATCAGGTACATGGTTAGAAAGATCTGAAAAATCATGTAAGTTAGGATGGTCATATATTTTAACATCGTTTGATAAACTGGGCTACTAGAATTCACAGAATGGCCTTGAGTATCCGTTTCCAACCAGTCGATATCCAAAGAATTTAGTCCGGATGTCGATGGAAGATGAGTGAATTCACTAGATACACCTGAAAAATAAAGTTTAAAAAAGTAGTACAACGAAAAGTTAAGCCATTAATCCATTATCCTATCTTCGGTTAATTACCCAAACGCTTAAATACCAATTTCACAAAGAGGGTAGATTTCCTTCCAGACGCACTTGACTGACCGAATCTCTCTCAAAGATCTAGACAGGAAATATTTATTGTTACCTGGAATTCTCTGTAAAGTATGCAAAACAGGACGAAACTTAAAGTATGACTGGATGAAGTTGTGTTCTGTTTTACACTTCTACGTAATGACAAATCCTAGCTTTGTTCACCAATTTTGCGATACTTAAATTTAAAGACTGGTCAAAAGAGTATAGCAATATTTTTGGCATACGTCTCAGCTGTCGTTTAATCGGAACAAAATGCAAGTGATAACAGAAAAGGACTAAATAAATAAGACGCTTATGACATCTATTGGTGAAGTGATACATGATGAGTGCCGTTCCATTACACAAACCCTGATGACTTCGAGTACTGTAGTTCACAAAGTAAGATGAATGTATAACCACGTGCGAAGACAAAAAAATGGAAATATTTTACGAATGTTGCTCCAATCCAAAATAGCTATGCTGAGCTGGATAGGCAAACATACCAACCAAAAGGAGGATTTCTAGGCTACTATAGAAGAAAATATTGAATTATTAAAATGCTTTCACCACCAATACTAACTGATCTTACAACGGATGGATATGATTTCTAATAATATTGTCAACCAGTCAAAATTGCTATTCATGAAAGACAAAGATGAAAGTACTTGTTTAATGTTTCACATATTGCAAGAAACTTCCAACTACATTTTGCGCCATACAACAGTGAGATACAAGCCAAAGTTATTTGTGAAGTTAGGTATTAATTAAGTTGATATTTACGAATCCTCTCACTGATACACATTATTGTCAGAGATTAACACTAAGTGAGAACTGTTTGAGACAAGAATGTAAAATGAAGGTTGTGGTGGAAAATATGAAGGATACCAACAAGATTGGGAATGATGTGTACCACAGCACGCTACAAAAAGCAGCAATTTTGTAAAAACTTACAGACCTGTACACTATGCTTTGAATCATGCTTCGACAGATAGATAATATCACACTTATTGTAGTGATACCACTGGATTAGTTGAAAACATGTGATGCAAAATTTGAACCTATAACTTACCGACTGAAAGTCTGAAACAGTGAGTCATAGTTTTACAACGTTGTGTAGCCCTGAGTATAAGAATGATGCAATTACAGAAGGGCGGACTAAGTTTCTTAATGACGAAATGATCGTGGATCCTATGTTTCCTAACTAAAATGTTTTATCATTTGATTATTTGAGATGGCCGTATTTTCGCAGACTAGTATTTATACTGGGTGATGACTGAAGGCCAAATGAGAATTTGGACCGCAACCGGATTCGAACTAGTGACCAATGGGGGTTTCCAGCCTCATGCTCTACCAACAGAGCTACGAAGTCCGACAGCTGACCAAATTTTCATTTCACCTTCAATCATCACCCAGTATAACATATATTTGTCTAAGACTTTTAATGCAGGGAAAACAAGTGACAAAAAATGATGTGAAGTAATAGTAAGGAAAGAATTAAAAAAAACTGAAATATACTTACATGGAACAGGCAAAATACTGGTAGATTCTTTAGAGTCAGATTGCTGACCAGCACAGGATGTTGCGAATTCTTCATTTAAAGGAGTCTTTAGTAAATCAGAGATAATCGAACGTGCACAATTTGGAATAGGTAAGTTGATGATGTCAGATCCCATACCCGTTTCCAGAGGATTCGTTGAAATCCTGGGATCGGATTCACTTGAGATTCGAGAGGTAAAATAAAACAGACCAAAATGCAAGCGACTGTTTATAGACACAAATTTATAAATGTGATGAAAGACTGATTCCCAACACAATGAATAAAATCTACCATTATAGGCAAACTGAAAACATAGTAGAAATGAGAATCGAAAATTGAGAAGTTAGAACGTCTTACAGCATTTTACAGAGATAGTGAGTGACTTAAAAAAATATTTTATTCGTACCATCGAAAAATGCATATTTGATTGTATTTACACCAACAAGTACTCTGAATTTTTAAAACTATTGCCGTCTTAAACGAATTGAAGAATTTCCATAGCGTTCCTTTCAAACAATTACTATGTTAAATAGAGAATCTGAAGTGTAAATAGAATCAAGTGATTGTTTATCGTAATACCACCTCATACTGGTAAACTATGTGACTGTGACTTCAACCCCATAGAGTAATGAAGATTGTTCATTACAAAATATCGAGTCTTACAATAAAGTTACAGTTGCAAACACTCTCCTGTTCGGCACCGTAGTGTGTAGTTTTCTTGCCTTTTCCTCTGAACCTGCATCAGTTGATCGATATTTACCAGTCATGTTTCCCGATGTTACGCTACATACTGCTGATACACATTTGCATACTTAACGTTCACCATAATCATAAAAAAGGCAGCTGTTAAGATGAATTAAAGTAGCATCAACAGATATAGTGATGAAGTGATTCATTACCACATTCAACTTTCGACGACTTCGTAAAGAAATAAGGCATATTATGCAAAAATGCTTCTTTTATAAAACAAAAGGAGAACAGAAATCCTTAATTACGAAACTAATCTACTATACGTTATTCCACTGCATTTTGTTGATTGAAGATTTCTATAAAAATTGGTTCTCAGTGTATATGTGATTACCACCCCCTATGTTTCACTTTTGTAGGTTAGTCAAATTTAGTGAACTATCAAACCCTCACTAACGTTGCATATGAAACAGTCTTCCGTTACCGGTGGAGTACATCCACGGTGTCCTAAGCTAGAAATAATTTGCATAATTTTCTGATGCAAAGAACCTTGAGACATTATTCGTGATTCAAAATCAATATTCATCTCCAGCACGCAAAAGAGGATTTCCCTAACAGTAATGAAATTGCCAAAACAAGTGCTACATTTATTTGGACCTTTCAGATGCTACTTCTTGAATACACTATATAACATGGAAAATCTGAATATTTTGAAACAGAAGGCGAAAATGAAAATTGTATAAATCAATTCAACCCCATAGATATTGAACACTTTCAAATCTCACCCAGTTTAGGCCACTTCATTAGGTAGAAAATACGAACAGCTGGTAAAGGTGTCATTCTTTTTGCTAAAGTAATTCGACTTTTCTAACATTAGACAAATCACAAATTGACTGAGAGCTTGTGGACATAACAGTTAATCACTACTCAACAAGTATTTGATTAGGCACAATGAAATACAATGCCAAACTATGCCAAAAATATCCCGACCGAAAAAAGCTATCATAACTTGGCCGTAGGGTTTAAATATCATGATGACATAACGACCTACGCCGACTGCGATCTTTGTTCCATGAGGCCCTAACATGAGAACAATGCCAAGAGATGGCAGTCAGAAAAAATTCAACTGACGAAATATACCCATTTATTCATTAACAGGAACAAGGCATGTATCAGCGAAGAAATATTTCTTTTCAACGACTTCATTATCAAGCTGTACAGTTGTATTTATACTCGGTAAAGTGACAGATAATTGCACTAAAAAGTTGTTCAGTCAATATGCAAAATATACAGTTCAAAGGAGACACCACAGCTGAAGTGCTGAAAAACCGTCTGTCAAGATATACCAATAGTAGCTTCTATACTGCTAGACTAAGATGGATATTCTCCAGCCGTTTGATTCATCAATGCGTGAAGGATAGGCTTCCACTTATGTCCACATCTGTGTATCTACAAGTTCACATGATCCTATGGAGCTAACTATAGTGGACGTTGTAAGCAGGCCCTCTGAAAACGTGTTGCTGAACACTACCCGGTTTGGCTTACCAGAGGCGAGCAAAGGAAAACGACTTCATCCATATGTGAACACCTTGTTGAATTGGGACACTCAGCACCTCAAAATTCATCCTTGAAAATAATTTACAAAGTTAAATTGAATTACTCCAAAGGTTTACGTTTCCACCACTTATGCATAGCTGAAGTAATCAGCTATACATCAACAAAAACCGAAATCTTGCATTCAAAAACGTTTTGTGAAACCACTTTGTCTACCTTGGCCTTAACAATTCATTTTGTTGATTTTGTCAATTTCAGTTCACTTTGGTATACTTCTTTTTTATTATCATCATTATCACCAATTTTCACTTCATTAACAACATTTGACCCATATTTCACTTAATATCAATTCATTCCTTATTCATTGACCTATTTTACACGTTTCAGCTTAATTATCAGTGTTTTACAATTATTTGACAACACTTACCTCTTATCTCACCACTTGTTATCAATTCGTTCCTCCCTATTCAGTGACCCATTTTCTATCTCTTCCACTTGAACAAATACCACCACCTACACCGATTGTATATTTTGCATATTGACTGAGCAACTTTTTAGTGCAATTATCTGTCACTTTACCGAGTATAAATACAACTGCACAGCTTGATAATGAAGTCGTTGAAAAGAAATATTTCTTCGCTGATACATGCCTTGTTCTTGTTAAGAAAAAATTCACCGTTAATTCCCGAACTATGAGGAAGGTTGGAAGAAAAGGTCGCACTGAAAACCGGACAGAGTACAACAGCAGAAAGTTGTCGTCTACGGACGACCAGCAGTACAATCCTGATACCACTTTCTTTTGGGAAGAGAGGACGAAAAGATCAGCCCCCGAAAAGCAAACCTATCCCCACTTTATGTTCTTAAGGTACAGGTGGTATGAAGTTTGTCGATGAGTGGTAGCACAACCCTATTGCAAAAAAACAGTCCTAAATATGCAGTGGAACAGGCGTCAAACAGATGTCCCATGGACTTTACAATAACACAAAAGTAATCCTCCTCCATTTTCAGGTATCATGCAGAAACAACTTCCATGATGTGGGCAGTCAGGAATTACAAACCATAACCTACCTTCTTATAATATATATTTATAATGAGTGTTTATATACAATGTTTTGGTAATATTTTGAGTAAAATTACTACCCGTGATCACATCAATTGTTGGACTTATTTGTTTACAAATTTACGGATAGAATTCATATATACGTATATAGTATTTTTACTTTGTATATTTGTCATTTTTCTCCAGTACTACGTTCCATGTAGCTGAGATTTGTGCTGAGTCACCTTTGTAGCAAGTGTTAAGCGTGACTTGTATGAACATGGAGTCAGTCAACAATTTTTCTTTCCATTTATTCATGTTGAACTTTGAAATGTCAATACTCACAATCAATATTGTTTTTCACCCCACGTATGTGCCGCTACCTATGAATTCTCTAAGTTTCTATATTCTTGTGTCCATCTGGGCTGACCTTTAATTAATCGTCTATGTTCATTCAGTATGATTTTGTGTGATCTCGATGTCTGACCTATATAGTTAACTAGGTAGTCGGTACAAGAAATTTTATACATAACCTTGTTTTTGTCTGATTTTTTTTATTGGATGTTTCGGATGTTTTAATTTTTCTTTTGATGAGGTTCATGGGCTTTATGTGGTTCGTATACCTCCTGTTCCGAGATTTCTTCCCATTGACTCAGATGTACCTTCCTTACAGCAGCAGTACAGCTTTCTGAAATCCCTCCTTCTCATCGTTTTCCATTTTTACTTCCCGTGGCTTTTTCTTCATTTTCTTGATTTTTTCTATCATGAGTTGTTCAGGATAGTGATTTTCCAATAACATTTTGAACGAAATGTTTATTTTTTTTATTACCATCAGGGCAGTTGTACACCTACGTATTCCTATTTTACAATGGAGTGCACTGAGAAGCATTCAAAAAATCTTCTTGAGTGGGCAGGCTTTCTGTAGATAGTGGTCTATAAATTTCCATTTTTCATTCCTTGTATTTTACAGCCTACCATTGGTAGTTCTCTCAATTCATTCTCTATTTACACAGTGAATTCAATTGAGTCTAAATAAATGTTCATATTTCAATGGAAACGGTTTATACACTAGCTCTTTACAAAAAACTAGTGTATCGTCATGAGAGACAGCGTATCTCCTCACGCCTGGCAGGAAAACAAGTGATTGTCGGAACAAGATTACAACAAAACATGACCCTTATCGGCTCATGGGAATAAGATTCTGTTGCCTCTTCGATTGGCTCAGCTTCCTTACTTGAGCGTTAAAGTCACCTCCCATTATGACTACATCTGAACGTTTTGCCTTCTGTAGCAAATCTGATATCATCCGAACTGTTATCGGTGAGTGAATAACCGAAGATTACGAATAGGAATCGCCTAGTTTTATTATCCTTCTTACTTCTTACAGATCTGATCAGCCAAACAGCACACAAACGACTGCTGAGTGGCATCTAGTCGATGAGAGCACTTTCTGCTCTACAACTCAATGATATACATGACTAAAGAATTTCGGGTGCAAAAACTGATGTCCGATTACGGATAAATTTCCGACGCTGAAAGCTCCAAAATGAAATAGGTGGTGGGACGTCAGGACACCAGAAATGAGGTTTCGAAGGCTCTAATCGTTGGAAATGGTTGAAGAGGGAGATGTTGCGGAAGATGTAAGAGGATTAATACTATCATCAGAAGGCAAACGAGGAAAAAGCTTAGGAGGATAGGTTATGTTTGACTGGGTTTTGTGTACTACTGGAAGCGTGCAGGTAGTTTGGACTTCCCAGCTGCACATACCATGCGAAGCTATTTCTTCTTCAGGCACCTGAAAGAGGAAAAGATTGGTGTGACCGCGGACATCCGCTTGAGGCCTGGTTGTTCGAATCCCGGGCACACAAAACCCGTACCACCAGAGCCCTAAGGGCGTGT